CCCCCCCCGCTTGCTTATGATGTAAGTCTGCTCCCTTTCCTCCGCCAGAAACCAGTCCTGACCATGAACTAGTTCGTAGTCACCGGACCTCTGTACGACCGTGGCAGGCATGCTGTCTGATCACAGGGTATTTCTCCTTCTCCACATGCTCTAACACTGCCCTGTCCCTCCCGCTTTTGGGAGGCAGCATTTCATTCTCCTGCCCTTCCCCCTCAGCAACCCATGATTCTCCTTTAGGCAGCAGAATTCTCTGGAAGTGTGCAGCCTCCATCCCAAGACCCTGCAGCTTCTGACTGATTCTAAGGGAGCCCTTGATCCGGGGGAAGTCAGCCAGTGTGTGGGAAGCTTGACTTCCCCTGGGGACACTGGTCAATCAATCTGGTCGACAGTCCTCACCCAGCTCAGCCCTCCAGCCATCCCTGTTCTGGAATGGATCATCTAAAACAGTCTTTGCCGGCTTTCATTTTGGCTTAAAGTCTGTAGGAAGAGGGACTGGGGTTGTAGCTCAATTGATAAGAGTGTTTAGTATGCACAGAACCCTGAGTTCCATCTCCAGCACCCCATAAACCAGGAATGGGGATGCACGTTTGTCATTCTGGCACATGAGAGGTAGAAGCAGGAAGACCAGAAATTCAAGGTCACCCTTAGCTCCATTTTAAGTTGGAGGCCAGCCTTACATGAGACCCAGTCACAAAAACAAACAAACAAAAACAAACTGCAGAAGGAGGATGGTCAGCCCAGCATGGAACAGGTACCTTGGTTCAGGTAGGCCATTCTGACCAGCACTCTTCCTGCCTGGGATGCCCCAGCACGGGACCCGTTGCCGTGGATTGATGGATAAGGCAGGTTTGGCCCAGCTATGCTCACAGCAGCCATTGCCTGAGTGAGTTCTTGAAAATGCAGATCTAATCGTCTTACTCCATCATGTTCAAAGCAGCTAGGCACCCCATGGCTTCAGAAGAGTATTTGTACAGATCAGCTCGACGCAGAAGGCTCCGGGGTGGTGAACCACGCCCACCACTCTACCAAGCTTCTCTGCTAGAACCCAGCGTGGACCTTTACCTCTGGACATTTATCATGATCAGATTTGTGTCCAAGGCTTAAACTCAGTCTGTGTGCCGGCGACTCCCTAAGCATGTCTCCACCTGGACAGTCTGAGCTCCGGCCATCTCAGAAGGGGGCTCGGTTGGTGGAGTGCTTTCCTAGCATGTATGAGGGCCTGGGTTCCACCCCCAGAGTCACATAAACCAGGAATGGTGGTACACACTTCTCATCCCACAACTGGGAGGTGGAGGCGGGGAGGATCGGAAGTTCAAAGTCATCCTCAGTTCCCTGGAGAATTCAGGGCCAGCTTGGGCAACATGTGGTCCTGTCTCAAAATAAGAATACAATAAAATGCTTTTGCTCGGACGTCTGAGAGAAGTTGCTCTAACTTAGTGTGTCAGGAACTGACCTTTGCATCTTCCCTGTCAACACCCACTCTCCCTGAAGTCTCCTCCATCTCAGGGAAGGACGGTTCCGTCGGCCCATTCCCCAGGATTTGAAGCCTTGCGTGTCTTTCCTGACTCCCGTTAGTTTTCGGACCATCCTTAACCAAACCTGTTCACCGCAACTTCCGAGCGGCTCTCTCTCGAGTCAGAATGTCTGCAGACTCATTCCTCAAGTTTACCATCCTGCTTGGCCTCCACCCTCACCTGGGTTTTACATCATCCTCCTCGCTGCTCTCGCTGTCCGTCTGCTAAAACACGCCACGGCTTGTCATTTCCCAGCCCCGGGGCCCCGGGGCTTCCCATCCTGGAGATCCCACACCCTATGTGGCTCAGGTAACTCAAAGGCTTCACCCTCTATGCCCCCACCCCACCTCACCCATCATGCTTTTCATTTCCACTTCGTCCCTTCCCTCTCCCCTCAAGGGCTCGCTGCATCGCCATCTCGTCAGGGAGACTTCCACCTTGAAGTCCTGCCTTCCTTCTGCCTGGAAGGTTCTTCCCCCAAGCAGCTATGCCTCTTATTCTTGAGAATGGCTCCTGGCACCAAGTGGATGTGCAGAGTTAACGAGACGAAGGAAGGAATCGGGACGTGCCCCCACACTGCCCTTTCCAGGGCACACAGGCTCCTCTTCGTTGTTGAAATGGTGCCTGCCTGTGTGTGTACACACGTGTGTACACACACAGGAGTTCATGTGACTTCGCCTCCCCACAGTGCTGGGGTCACAGGCCCAGTCTGCTCCACCTGACGTTTATGTAGGTGCTCAGGGTCCACACTCACGCCTTCATGCTTGCATGGTGAGAAAACCCGCCATGCCAGCTCCCTGGCCCCTATGGGCCCCATTAGTGAGCTCCTTTTGATTTGTTCAGTCAGCTGGCCCTGCCCTTCCAAGTGTGATTTAAATGCATGTTTCTCCACTTCTTGAAGAGCGGAAACATTTGAGTGTGTCACACTCTAGTGCTTAGCTGCCAGGAGAGAGGGAGAGCGGGTTACTCTTTCCTGTGCGTTCCCCCCAGCAGGCCGCTGGTATGTTCTCAGCAAAGACCGGGAACAGGTCTGTGGTAGATTCACTCACAATTTCCTTCTAGCAAGTTCTCAGATAATGTGGATTCTGGCCACACACACACACACAGGTCCCATAGGAATCTCAGCTCAGTTTTGAGCCTCCAGTTGGGGATTGCGTAGAAGGGTATTGGGCCATTTGCTTTACTGAAGGAGTGTGTGTGTGTGTGGGGGGGGGGTCATTTGTTTTCTCTAACTCAGGAAGCTGAGTGGGGGTTTAGGAGGGAGAGAAAAGGCGTGAGTGTTCTTCTGGGGTAGACTGGGTCCTCGGGGGGGGGGGGGGCCTTTCACTCAGTAGGCCTGGCTGTGCAGGAGAAGGTGGGTGTGTGGAGGGAGCGATTCCCCTCTGCCTTGCAGACCCATGGAGAAGTAGTCTCCTTTTCTCTATTTGCTTCTGATCCAGGTGTTCTGGAGAGTGATGCTCTGGATAGTCTAGAGTGGTGGTGTTCATGTGACCTGGTAGTCATGTGACAGGATGCCCAGAGTCTTTGTCGAATGGGCTGGTTGCAGGGAGGGTCATTAGTTAAATCAGGTTCTATCTCTCCTGCTATGTGTGTGCTGTGTGTGTGTCATTTGTACATGTTCCTAGGTGTATGTACATGTGTATGTGATCATGCGTGTAGAAGCTAGATATTGACATCGGGCATCTTCAACATCTTTCTACTTGGTTTTGTGTTTGCTTTCATATTTAATGTTTTAAAAAAAATTCTATGTGCATGTGTGTGTGTGTGTGTGTGTGTGTGTGTGTGTGTGTGTGTGTGTGTATGAGCCACATGTATGCGGGTGCCCTCAGAGGCCAGGAGAGGGCATTGGATTCCCTGTGCTGGAGTTGCAGTTGACTCTGAACTGCTCCGTGTAGATCCTTAGAGAAGAATCCAGGTACTCTGGAAGGGCAGTAAGGCTTTCTCACTGTGAAGCCAGCTCTCCAGCCCCTGTGCACGTTGTTTTTGAACCCTGACCTCTCACTGACTGCAGAGCCCACTGACTCAGCTAGTTGGTTGGCCAATGCCCCAGGGATCACCCTGGCTCTTCTTTTGGGGGGGCGGGATGCTGGAGATTCCAACTCACATCTTCATGTTTGTGCAGCAGATATTTTACCCATGGAAACTTCTACCCTCTGTTTCTAGGTAGAACTCGATGCCTTGCCTTACATGACCTTGAGCCAAGCCTCCTAACCCTGGTCTCTCTGACTTTGTCTCCTCGTGTTAATGAAACACACATCACCCTCCCCATTCATAAACAGCAGAAAAACAAACATCTGGATGTAAGGAGCCCTCCAGGGGATTTGGGAGCTGATGTGCAGAATTGAGAGAGCCTGAGGAGAAAGCTGCTGTGTAAACACAATATATTATTAATATGATGTTAAAAAATAGCATTGTGGGCCTGAGCTATTCATAGCTGCCTTGGGCTGCAGAAGCAGCAGGGTTCTGACACACGGGCCCTAACACAGTTTTGGGAAGCAGGGGCTATGGCTTTCAAGTCTGCAGCACACTGAAAAGAAAAGGAAAGAGAGATTTTAGTCAAAGTTTGAGCACATTTGTGTGCATACTGGTAGTGTATACGGAAGGTATGCAAACCAGGTAGAAGATGTCTTTTAATCTTTTTTTCATTACACTGTAGAGCTACTTTACAACGTGACTAGTTTAGGGTACAGGGATGAAGGTTAGGGGTCCCCCAACCACCCTGTCAGACCCATCAGATAGCAGACAATACTGCTTAGGACTCCAAGGTGAGAAACTCCCAGGTAGGCAAACTAGTAATAGTTATTGGTTTGGTTAGCTAACTAGTTAGTTGGTCATATCTATTACATGCATATACAACAGCAGTTACATGCTGCTGTAGACACTGGGGAATGGGAGACATAAATTATTTCCTAAGGGACATTGTCTCTCTGTGTGTATGTGTGTGCGTGTGCGTATGCGTGTGTGTGTGTGTGTGTGTGTGTAGGCCAGACTGTAACCTCAGGCATCACTTTTTGAGATAGTGCCTTTCACTGAACCTGGAGTTCATTAGTTTTTTTATATTAACTTTTCAGCAAGCCCTTGGGATCCATTCCAGATAAGGAATTGACAATGATTAGTGAACAGTGAGTTTCAGAGGGGTTACTTACTTACAGGAGCACGTGTTGACTAAAGGCAGTGGTATCATTGAAAAGCTCACCCAAGTCTGGGTGACAAGTCACAAAGGCTGCATCCCTATACAACTTACAGGCAGTTCCACTGAGGAAAGCCACCTCTTCTAAGCAACTGTTACTGCTTATGTAACATTTGAGAAGGGACCTTGTGAGTCTTGTAAGTTTCAGGAGTTTCCTGAGACCTGTGAGTTTTGTTGACTTCCTATGACTTATAAGTGTCCTTTACTTTCTGAGGATTAATGAGCCTCCCTCCAGGAGGAAATATTTTAATGTAGAGGAAATAACTACACAACTATTCGTGTTCTTTTTCTTACAGAGCCTGCGTCATCTTGGGGGTGATCTTTCTTCTGTCATCCATATGCATAGTGGTCAAAGCCATCCATGACCTTTCAACAAGGCTGCTCCCTGAAGTGGTAAGTTCCTTCTTTCCTAACGTTCTTGTCTGGAGTTCCTCTTTGATTCTCACACAGGTCTGCTGCAGTGGGTGGGTAAGGGGAGGCCATTTTAGGGGCCAGGAAAACTCACTGTGGGGACACAAACGACACATCGTGGTGACATTCTGGGTCAGATGAGACTCCACATAGTTTAGCTGGTGCTGCCTTCTGTGTCCTCCGGCCTTTTCTTTTGACTAGTTTTAAAGCAGGATTTCTTTCTTTCATAAAAAAAAAAAAAAAAAAAAAAAAAAAAAAAAAAAGGCTTGTTTTTGTGCAGCTGTGATCCAGTCTGTTGTCTGAATTCATCTAATGATTGCTATAACAAGAAATATTTCTTTTTTTCTCTTGCACATCAATGCAGTATGTAGATCTATTTCCATGGGTTTCCTAGCATGACTGGTGTCTAGATATATAAATTAGAAGACACAATTTCTGACTGAGATTTTTTTCTCACTGTTTTGTTCTTCTCTGATCTTTGTTTTACCTCTTCCCCCCACCCCATCCTCTCTGGATATTTGTAGCTTTCTGTTAGGCAGCCTTACTACAAGGTAACTGGTTTGGTTACTAGGTGATGAAGATGCTGCCTTTATAATTTTTCACATTTGGGTTCATGGCAATGCAAACAAAAAACATTGGCTCATAGGATTTGTTTGGATTTCAGCTTGACCACAACACACCATTTTATGTAGGTCAGAATTGTTAGGGAGACTGTGCATTAATCTTTTGGATATTGTATTGCATCTGTGCTTATGTAATACTTATGTAACTTAGGGGGCATAATCCTGTGAGTGGTGTGACCTTTGTGAGTCTTGTAAACTTCAGGAGCTTCCTGAGACTTGTGAGTTTTGTTGATTTCCTGCACTTTGTAAGTTCCTTTTATTTCCGAGTCTTAAAGAGACTTGCTCCAGGAGGGAATGTTTCTGTTTGGAGAAACTATATCTATGTAACTGTTCGTGGTCTGTTTCTTATAGATCCTGTGTCATCTTGAGGTTAATCTTCCTCCTACTTTGTGTGTGTGTGTGTGTGTGTGTGTGTGTGTGTGTGTGTGTGAGAGAGAGAGAGAGAGTTAATGAAAACTTAAAGGGGTAGTCTACTACATTTAGTAGAGGCATCCAAGTGGCTGCTTGTTGTTTCTTACCTCTCTTTAAGCCATTTCTTTCACAGCCCATCAGCACTTTAACTGTTGTTTAATAACCACTTCCATGCTTGGGCCTCTCCTCTCCTGAGGACTGAGTTCTCTCCCACGATCTGCTCAGCTGCCACAGGGCTTAGACCTACCTATCCTCTCCCCCATCCATCTTTATGTCACATGACCCATTCTGCTAGAATCTGCTTCACACAGAAGGCACCAAGCGTGGTTGTGTACGTTACACTTCAGGTGTACCACGTTGCATCTTTCAGAGGACATTAAGACACCCGAGCTTGAGGCAATATTACTAGGCAGGACTTCTTAGCACTGTGTCAACTGACACATTCACTTGTTAAGATATTAAAGATTAATTTCCAGCAGGGGTAATGGCATGGGATGGATGACTTTGCCCACGGGCCTCTGTCGAAATGCTCCTTGTTTCTCTCTCTCCATAATGGAAGCACTTTTAGCTGTGGGCAGTCATTCACTACCCCATGGGGCAGATGCTGTTAGGTGAGGTGTCGAAGCTCAGCGATTTCAATCCTGCCTCCCTCTGCCGGCGTCTAATGACCTGGCCCACATCAGGCTTAAAGGGTGAAGGGCTACATGGTTACACCCAAGATGGGCCCTGTCCTTGGACAACCCAAGGCTACTGTGATGAGACTGAAAGAATTATAAATTGTAGCACTCTGTGAATATCCTGCATATGGCTGATTTTATTTTTTTAAGCTGTTTGGCATCATGAAGGGGTAACGAAGAAGGAGTGTCTGAGCTGCAAAGCAAAGGCTGCTGTCTGCCTGAGCAGCAAACAAGGCCACTTAACACTACCGGGGCATAGTAAATTATTTATTTTAATGCTTATGGGGGTGGGGCATGCATGAGGATGTGCACGTCGTGTGTGGCGGTCTGAGGAAAATCTCGAGTGTTATCCTCAGGAATGCTGTCCCTGTCCTTAGAAGCAAGGTCCCTTACCATCCCTACAGCTCACCACTTTGGTTAAAATGGTGACCACTGAGCCTCAGGGTTCCACCTGCCTCTGTTTCCCCAGGGCTGCGATTACCAGCGTATGCCACCAGGCCCGGCTTTTTGTTGTGTTCTGGGGATTGAACTCATGTCCTCACGCTTGCCCGGAATGCACTTTCCCAGCTGAGCCATCTCCCCAGCCCATTTCTTTCTTAAATTAGTAATTAGTAACAGATTTCCTCATGTTGTACACACACACACACACACACACACACACACACACACACACACAGTTTTGGTTGCTAACCCAATACTCCTGCATTCACAACCCATTTGTAACCTTTTACCCCTTGCATTTCACATCATGGGTGCTCTCTTACTAGCCCCAACCTTCCCCTTAGGATGTCCTTCCACTGACCTCTCGTGCTCCCCTTTCTACTCTCTGACAGCCACACACACCCATCCCCACATCACATACATGTAGAAAAAGTACATCAGGCTCTGCCTATGACAGAGAGAGTGGACATGAAGTGTTTGCCCTCTTCAGCCTAGGTTATCTCACTTAATTTTTTTCCAGTTCCCTCTGTCTTCCTGCACGTTTCATTCTTAATGGCGAAATAAAATCCCACCGTGTACACGGACCACGTTTTCATTAGCTACTTGTCTGTTGATGGACATTTAGGGCTGGCTCCATTTCCTGACTGTTGTGAAAAGAGCCGGGATGGACGGTGAGCCTGCATCTCTGTAGTCGGATGTAGACTCCATTGGGTACGCGCCTCAGACTTTTCAGTCAAGTGTGCTGGCTCCTTTGCTCTGTACCAGGGAAGTTTCTAGAAGCCAGCCAGCAGTGATCGGGCTCCCACTTCCTGCCCTGCTGTGACTCAGGATGAGTGTTGATACACAATGCTTCGTGCAAATTGGATTTGTCAGCTCAAATGCCCAGAGAAATCAGGCCTGGGCACGAAAGAGAGAAGTTGGCTAGGTTTATGGTACCCAGAGAGGATGTGCCTGCTTCAAAGCTCCAGTTGCTGTGCTGGAGAAAAGAGGAGAAATCTCTGCTGACACAAAACAAGCAGGACCTGGGCAGACAGCTTTGTGAGTAAAGTGCTTGCTGGGCAAGCACAAGGAACTGAGCTCTGTCCTTAGGATCACTGGAAAGCCAGACAACTGTAAGGCCCAGCATTGAGGACAGAAGACAGGACACCCCGGGGCTCTCTGGGTAGCTGCACTGGTGAGTTCTGGGTTCAGTGAGAGACGCTGACTAGACAAGATAAGGGGGAGATTGAAAAGGAAGATACCTGATGTCAGTCTCTGACATACGCACCTGTATGTGTGGAGTATCTGCACACAGACACATACGTATAACACACACCTGCACAATGCATATATGTATAACACACACATACCTGCTCACAGACACATAGGTATAATACACACACCTGCTCACAGACACATATGTATAACACACACACAGACCTGCATAATACACATATGTATAACACACACCTGCACAATGCATATATGTATAACACACATAACTGCTCACAGACACATATGTATAACACACACACCTGCACAATACACATATTATAATACACACATACCTGCATACAGACACATATGTATAACACACACGTGCATAATACATATGTTTAACACATACCTGCATAACACACACATGTATAACACAACACCTGCACACAGACACATGTGTATAACACACCACACACACACACACACACAGACACACACCACATGAAGGAACTAATGAAATTGAAAGCCTGGTTTGAGTGAGTGGATAGTTTCACATAGGACAAGGGAAGTCAGCTCCATTCAGGGACTTTGCTACTTCTTGTAGGGTCTGGATCAAACCAGGGATCGTGCTCCCAGGGACAGTGCTCTTCAGGGCTTCAAGCTGCGTTCCCACAGCTCATTTCTGCATGTACAGGAAAAAGGCCTGGGGGCTGTGTGTGACTCCCAGGGTAACACATGCCTAGTATGAAAGCTGGGATTTGAGCCCCAGCACCATACAAATACATAACCCCAGCACTGGAGACTTAGAGGTCGGAGGATCGGGAGTTCAAGGTCATCCTTGGCTACATAGTGAGTTTAAGCCCAGACTGGGATACTAAGATACATGAGACTTTGTCTTGTGGTGGTGGGGGGGGGAGCCAAAATCAAAACCAGCTGTTTTCTCTCAATTCAGCTGTGCAATTCTCAGAGCAAAACTTAGTATAAGAATGGGTCAGTGTGTGTGTGTGTGTGTGTGTGAGTGTGTATGTGTGTGTGTGTATGTGTGTGTGTGTACATATGTATGTGAGGGTATGTATGCCTGTAAGACTAGAGGAAGACATCGTGTATCCTCTATTGCTCTCCATGTTATCTCTCGAGACTGGGTCTCTCTCCCTGAACTTGGGGCTCGCTGTTTTTCATCTAGGCTGCTGGCTAGCAAGCCCTAGGGGTCTTCTCGTCTCCACCTCCCCTCCCCTAAATGGCTCTGGTTCTAGGTTATAACTGGCTTTGTTTGTAGATTCTGTGATCTGAATTCAGGTCCTCATATCCACTGAGACATCTCCCCAGCCCGCAATGGGTCTGTTTTCAACTAGAAATCTGTGTCGACCCATCGGTGAAATCAGCTGGCTCTGAACCTCCAGGGTGTCACCAAAGCCCCTGGGGGTTTGTCTGGAAGAGGAGCTGAGCCACCTGGTGAGCCCCTGACCCCCGGAGCAGGCTGGTGGGGGTTGTGTGGCCAGGCTGCTGGAGTAAAGAGCATAAGCCCCCACCCCCTACCCCTTCCACCACACCTTTGGTCAATGAGCAGATTCTGGAAGAGAATTCTCTACAACTCTGCAGTGTCCTGATTCTAGAAGCCAGACAGGAGTGGGCT